TTGATTCTATATTGTTGAAAAATAGAAATGCATTGTTATCTGACTGTGCTTTAGTACTCATGATTTCGATTTTCTAGGGATAAGACAGCGGTGATTTCCCCTTACCTTCAGCCGGTTTGTTTATGGTTTGACTCCAGTAGCCTTTGTCTAAAGAGACTTACCAGCAGGTCATGGGGGGGGGGGGGAGATTATGGAGGCTCTTACCCGCCGATGGCTATGTCGTAGAGTTTTAATGTATTTTATAGAGTTAGCTGTCCCACCAACTAACTCGCTGCCTCTCAGTGACCATCGCCTGTTTTAGTCCACGGCAACTTATTCAATATATGCGTGGCTAACCTCTATATCTGGAGGTCTTTCTACCATCCGCCACATGGTGTGCAAACTGAAGACACAATCGGACATGGGTGCCCGCTAGATAAATTTGGGCGGGGAGAGGATTGGGTGTAGGAATCAGGCTTGTGTCAGTTAAGGTCGTGAGTGCAGGGACTGGCCAGCTGGTGCTGCTGAATCAGAAGTTCAAGAAATGAGACATGACAATTCCCGCTCAGGTGATGTGATTATATATACAGATGGCTCTGTGTTCAGAGGCAGACGAAGTGCGTGGGGGTTAAAAGAAAAAGCGAATGGGCATCGCTTAGTGCAACAAAGCCTGGCCTATGATATCACAACGTCTACTTTGAGAATGAAAGTGGAGGCAGTCACCGCTGCCTTCCGCTGGCTTGAAAATGAGCTCTACACTTCCTCTCTTCAGCATTCCGAGCCCTTGAGTTCATTGCTGCCTCCATTCATCCTTCTGGTTGGCCTTCTTTTTCCAGTTGGTGACACCAAGTGTTTGCAGGTCTGTCTGGACATTATCTCTCAATCTTCTTGGTCTGCCTCGTGGTCTATGATCATTCATCGCCCTTGTGTATACAGTTTTTACTTCTCTGGCGTCTGGAATTCTTTCAATATGCCACAATCATTTCAGCTCTACACTTATGCCGTAATTGAAACTGACTCACGCCGCATGTTGAGAAAGGTGCAGACAGGCATGCTCCGTGCAGAATGGCAAGTGTCTTTTTGATATTTTCTCCAGGTCATGGTCATCAGCGACCAGACAACTTCGTCACCGATCGGGACAGTGTTTGGGTCTCCTTAGATCTCATCACGGCCTTCTATATTTTTATACAGGCGGACCTTGATCTCATTAATACTGCAGGAGTCCTTTTCATGGCCTTTGGCGAGTGCTTTCTACGCGGCGGCGGGACGGAGGTGGGGGAAAAAAAAGGGGGGGGGGGGTGTGATATGCGACATCACTGGGACTGAAAGAGTTAAGTAATTGTTTTTCAAAAAATTTGTTTAGAAAATGACGAATTGTAACCAGGTCCCGGAAGTGGTAAGATCACGTGACACGTGGGAGATTCAAAACAACAGTGTGCTGACGGTGTCAACACGAGCAGGAAATAATTGTAATAATATATCCAGTGAACCTATCCTGTAACTAGGAATCTCCACAACCGAGAGCAGAATTTTTATTGTTGTTGTCAGTCATCACCTTTGGATAAACATTGTCAATTTGTTGTTAATTCTGGGTGATAGATAGTCATGGCTTGATGGTTTTTCATGTATAATAATATTAGTAATATTACTTACTAACTAGTGAACTATATAGTTGCTATGTTAGATGATCAGAGTCAGAGTCGTACGCAGAATCTATATTATTAATAAAAATCTTGGCGCTTCTTTGATAAATCCCCAAAATGGCGGCATGCCACATTCTGGCCATAAAATATCCAAAAATATCCGAACGACAGTGTTCGCGTATATCTAAAATACGGACTTTCTGCCAACGAACAAATCGCGGCAAAACTAGGATTACTTGACAACCAATATCAACATTTGCACACGGTAGTAGTAGCAGACGATAAATACAGACGGTTGACAACAATTTCGAGCGTTTCTGCAGACGACGATACTAGCAGACGATATTAGCGACCGTTGACCAATTTAGAGACATTACAGACGATGAAAGCCGATTAGCAATACTGTGTTCTTCCGATTGGAGCGGTAGATGTCAGACTTGTCGGCATGCGCCAAACGCGATTAAACTCATCGCCGAGCGTATCTAGGTGCCTGGGACTCACGAGTACAGTAACTGGAGGAAGTTGCAGGAGATGCGGTAGCTGCCACTCGTGAGTCCCAGCCATCTAGTTTAGCCCCCATCCGCGCCGCGCGTAGCGGCGCGGGGGAAACTCTTGGCCGTGAGGCACACTCGCAGAAGCAGGTCGGCAAGCAACGTATGGCCCAGACCCTGTCAGAGCATTTGTTTCGTTATTCGGAGCCGGCACATATATTTTTAATAGAACTGACCCCGCATTCGGATATTTTTGGATATTTTATGGCCAGAAATTGACCAATTTAGCTCCTTTTTGAACGCCATCATATTACAGCCGCCATTTTGGGGAACGATTCAAAGAAGCGCCAAAATCTTAATTTTCCGGTGTCGTTAGCTCTAAATTCGGAAAATACTGAATCTATTGCTTTCAAATTTGCACACAACGTTGCCTCTGACTCAAAGCGTTATTTTTTGTCATAAAATCGGACAAATCACGAACGACGTAGCTCCAGCAACAGTCAAAACATTATTTGTTTCGTTGCCCGCCCGGATAAATTTTTAACAATTTGCCAGCTTTTACTGTGTAACGCCTAACTTCCCATTATTACTATATACTTTATAATATTATATACTTTCATTTCTACTAAATGCTTGTGTGTTTAGTAGCGTAGTTGTAAGCATTTCTCATTTTACTTGCATGATTCCCCGCTGAGTAATATAATTTGGGGGGGGGGGGGGGCTAACTGGGTGGCTGCCATGTTTTGTTGTGTTTTATAGCTAGGCTGCCATATCTACGCTTTTTTTCCCGTTCGATTTTAGGGTTAACAGCTAGCCTGCGATGGTGGCGACTTGATGCTCAATGTTCATGTCATGGGTAATATTCATTCGCCCTTAAGAGGGCGGTTGGCACCTTGTGTTGTGGTTTACAGCTAGGCTGTAATATAGAAAAGAGGGGAAAAAAAAATTGGGCATGAGTGTTGTCACCTCCTTAAGGTAGTGGAATGTTCTGTGGTGGATTATTTAGTTTATCCACTATAGATAGAACAGACAGACTGTTAAAATCAATGCTGGATATTGTCTGGGAGGTGATTTGTGTACTAATCAGGAAATTTGTTTCTGGTAGTATGCAGAACTGGCACCTTTTTTCAATAGATCTGTTTTATTTTCAGCGCCACTGTAATAAATACTTTGTGATGAGTACAAGCACCTCTTATTCTTGAAAAAAACCCAAAAAACTTTTGTACTAGTCATGTAACTGATCAAGCACAGGCTGGTCAAGAAAATCTGGATCCAGCAGCATATCCTGTTACATTGATATAATATTAGGGGGGGGGGAAGGGGGGGGGGCTTACGTTCTCATTATATTGCATTGGTGTGTGTGTATATATATATATATATATATATATATATATATATATATATATATATATATAAAATGTATATATATAGGGGTCTTATATTTTTATTGTTTTGCTTGCTGCTTTTCTGACTCTTTATTTTGAATTTCCACAGATCCACTAGAAGCCGTCATTTTACATCAGTTGCTGCATAAGCAACAAGTTTGAAAATCCTGTCAACTTGAATTATCACAAAAACAGACAACAGATAATAAACTATAATAATAATAATTTTTTTTAAATTACTCCACAATGGATCTTGCTCTGAGCATAAATATAGAATCTGCACATATAAAAGCAGATGACAGAACTCTGTCCAATATTAATGGATATTTTGAAACTCTGATTCACATAATTGAAAAGACTGGACATAAAGACACTCTATTTCAGATCATTAATTCTGCTGAAGATGGTGAAACTCTAGATGACATCATAGAATCAACTGGAGATGTTGGTACTCTGAGAAGCATGACTGAAATAATAGAGACTGATGCCTTAAAACTGTTAAACAGTGGACAGACATTCTCGCAAGATGAATTGGATACAGCATTGATATTCACTTGCTGTTGTGGGTATACATTTCTTGTAAATGATCTTATTCATTTGGGAGCAGATTTGCAGACCATGGATAGAAATGGGAACACCCCGTTGTTGATTTGTGTACAAAATGGCTTCACTAATATAGTTAAACGATTAATTGGAGGAAAAATAAATATACATGCCAAAAATAATTTTGGTGATAATGCGTTAATACTTGCCACTAGTTCAGCTGCTTCAGTAGAGATGGTGAAGCTCCTTCTTGCACAGACAAGAATCTATATGAATCACCAGAATAAGGAAGGGTACACTGCATTAATGAAAGCAATAGAAGCAATGAATATTGATATCATTAAACTGCTACTTGATTCACAGGAGAACACAATAGATGTTCTTGAACGAATCAAAAACTGCAGAAATGAAACTGCTCAAGACATTGCAGATAACCTGGGCATGGGAACAACTGTCAGGCTGTTAATACAACACTATACCAAAATGCACAATCCAGTTTTGGCAGCGGTTCTGACATGTGACATGGATTCTTTCAACATCTTGATGGACTGCCATGTCTATGAACAATCATACAAGAAGCGCATTATCCAAGATTCTTTCATTGCACTTTTTACAAAACATAACAAGAGCGGGGAGAACTTTAGTGAGAATGAGGAGAAGATCATCCAGAGACTCTTACAGTGTGGAGCAAATGTAGATGATTTCCCTAACAGCTCCAGCCCTGTAGTGGTTGCGCAAGGGTTGGCAGTTGCAATGTGCTAAAAAAATTTCTGAATAATGAGGCATATTTACATAAGGTGTGCAACCAGAGAGAAAATAATCCATTAGCAGTCTCAGCAGAACATGGCCACGCGCACATTATAGAACTTTTGTTAAAGCACAACCGAAACCTAGCGAAAAGTTTTACAACATTGGCTCTGATCAACGCTGTGAAAAATGGGCACAGCGGCTGCATAAAGATGTTAACAAAGCATGGTGTCAGTTTGGATATCAAATCTGCTTTCCAATCTGCTGTAAAGAATAATGACTCGACGCGTCTCAGATACCTTGTAGAAAACTTCAGAGTTGAGATAAGTCGCGCATTTTCTGCAATTTCTCTGAATAACTTTATGATATCTGCTTCTCACAGTGGATATATAGACATCATTGGCATACTTCTGGATGCTGGGGTTAATGTTAACTGTGTCAGTACCGCAAAGAAAACACCATTAATGGTTGCCGAAAATGTGGAGGTTATCAACTTTCTGGTGCACAAAGGTGCTGATGTGTGTATGAATAGCACAAAACATGATTGGATGTATTCACCTTTGTCATATGTTTTGTCTAAAAACAACTACCATTATGACTACACAGAGACGGTGAAAATAGTTGAAGCACTGCTGAAACATGGTGCACCTGTTAATGAGGACTCTCCCAGTGGATCACCATTGATGAATGCTATTTTAAGTGAAGCGAACTTGAACATTGTTAAGTTGTTGTTAGACCATGGTGCGGATCTCAGTGTTAGAGATAGCAAAGGCAACACTGTCTTGTTAATTGCTGCTGAAAATGAGTCTACTGAAAACATTAACTACTTACTTCAACATAGGGAGGTGAGAGAAATAATCAATGTCCGGAATCATCAAGGTTTGACAGCTCTCATGATTTCTACCCGGAAATTCAATCACCCAGCAGTCAAAGCCCTCATTGACCATGGAGCCGATGTGAATATTAAGGATGTGGCTGGGAATACTGCATTACTGCTTGCAGTGTATTGGCATAGGCAGAGCCTTGAGACACTGACAACTTTGATTGATGCTGACAGTGATGTCAACTGTCAAAATGGCAGTGGTCACTCGCCTTTGATGCTGACAGCCCTTGCTTCCTGGACAGATGCACTAATTTTGTTGGTGGATTCTGGTGCAGAGGTTAATGCTGTCAGTGGAAAAAATGAAACAGCTCTTTCACTAACACTGAAAAAGTTCAATCCCAGGCCATCCTGTGTGAAGTACTTACTTGATCATGGTGCAGATGCATCTTTTGTGAAGCCAGAATTTATAATTCGGTTGATTCTACGTAGGAAGTTGGTGTTCATTCCAAGACGGATGCGGTGTGGGCTAGGACCCACCGAGATCAGTTCACTTACATATCTTCTCTCAGCTCCTGTCACGACTGTTTCACCTTTGTTTATGGCACTGATGACAGGAAATGTGAAACTGGCTGCTTATTTTGTTGAAAACCTGTTTGTGACTAAATCTGACATGTTCAAGCTGATTCACAACAAGGATGTGAGGCAGCATCTTCAAAAACATAAGCTTCACAAGTGTCTGGGATTTCTTGACAAGCAGGCTGCACAGCCATTATCTTTGTTCTCTCTGGCATTTATAGCAGTGCAGTCAGCCATCAGTGCAGCACCTGGGCGTGAGGAGCGAGTCAGTAGTTTGCCTCTACCCCAGATAATCAAAGACATTCTCATGTTTAAAGTAGAGAGTAGACCTTTAGATATGTCCGCCAGCCATGCTGAGATGACTGCCTATGGTAATATAGTTGAAGAAATAGAAACCACTGGTGGCCTCTTTTCTGACAATGATGATTATGACTATGATTGTTACGCCTATACATCTTATTATAAATCTGCTTCCAGTTATAGTGATGATTCCGAGGATGATTCTGGTGATGGTTCTGATGTTGAGTCTTCTGACGATTCTGAAGTTTATTCTGACGATGACTATTTAGACTTCTAGAGATATAAACTGTAGCAGTGTGCATGACATGACTGCCCAGCGTTATGTATGTATGATGTTTTTGACAATCAGCCTCTTGCACCTCACATCCGCTTTGGGAGGGGGGGGGGGGGGGGGGGGGGTCACTTTAGCATTTCTTCATGTGGGTTTCTGAGAAATAATAGTTCCAGAGAGGGGTGAGGGGGCTGAACAGACCTACTGCTCTCTGGCTAACGGTACTGTACAAGGTGACTGAAGGTTTTTCCTTTGAAGAATGCATCTACATGAGAGGCCAGGAACCAACAGTCTGCGTACCAAAAAGCCAGACCTGTAAAATGGATATGTATACAAAACTCAATTTCTGGAACAAGAATTAAGTCCAGAAGTGGATTACAAACTGAAACTTTCTGCGCGAATTAACAGCTGGCAAATAAGAAGAAGAAGATCACCCACCGTGTCATCTGACATGGACATAATGTTTCACCTCATCTCATTAGGATTGCCATAATCTTGCCATCTTTCTGTACTGCTGATTCCATAATTTTCTTGTTAGTTGTGTGACATGTTTCTTTTCTCATAACCACACAATTGTCAGCTTCATTCAGAGTTGTAAGCTTCACTGGAAAGGTCACGGGTAGTAAGCATACTTTGGATCTTTTCTCCAGGCTATGCCGGCGTGGTGGGTAATAAACAGGCAGACAGATTGGCTGGATCTGCACCACTGGGTGTTGAAGTGATACATGACAAGGTAGATGTAGTCAAGGCCCTTTGGGAACAAGCAACGGTATTAGTAGAGAAAGATTCTTATGGCCCGGAGCGAATGAGGCATCTGGGTGTAACTAGAGGGTCTGGCCGGCTCACTACACTCAGAGGAAAGGCAAGACGGACATACAGTCAGATTGTGACCGGTACCATCAGTATTGGAACTCTGCGCTGGCTGCTGAAGATGAGGACTGAGCATGCATGAGAATGCCCCGAGTGCTGTGGTGTCAGTTCTTGACTCAAGTCAACTCATAATGTGGAGAAAAACAATAAAATTTAAATGTCAGGCAAATATATTGTGGTATCTTGTCAAGAGGCATTACTACAGAGTGACATCAGCATGTAATAAAGTACAAAAACTGAATTAATTCCACTAAAATGTGCATCACATCATACCTCTCAATACATTGTTTGTCTAATCACTGGAAGTTCACAATAGTCACATGAATTACCAGGGTAACTTTACATTTCTAACAAAATTCACATGCACGTTTACAGAAAAGATGCATTTTTCTAATGTTAACTGTTTTTGAGAAATTATGTAGAAGCCGGAAAGAATTGGGTTTATATAAAACTGAGAACACCATGGACGTATCAAAAGTACAGTGATTCCATGAAAGAAATTGTGTATAAGAGAAGTGGATACCATAGAAGAAATGTTTCAGACATAAAATTTGATGAGAAATGACATGTCAGTTAAAAAAAATGATTGTTCAGTTTGACATGTTGAGTGTTGTCATTTCAAATATGTTAAATTATGTGGTAGCAGACGTGTCAAATGCTGTGGCTAGGTGTAAGTATGTTGTGTGGTTTGATAAATGCAAGCAGGTTGCAAGAGTTGTAATTCTCTGGTAACTGACTATGAACTAGTTGAAATAAATGTTTGTGTGTGTGTGTGTAAATTAAGAACCTGCAGAAGGATCTGTTGGTAAATGTTGTATCAAGTGGAAACAACTGCAAAATATAATTTTTTTAGCTTTTTAATTTTTTTTAATTTAATTAATTGGCTTGGATTCAACTGTGCCACACAGAGGCGTCCTAAGGTATTGTCCTGTATGTGTTCTGGTCCTGTAACCTCTTTTAGAAATGACACATTCTTTCAAGAATTAATAGATGAATATCAGAGCTCGAACTCACATCAGCCTAAGGGCCATGGTATAACGTGAAAAGATTATCTGTTTTTATGCCAAAAAGCTTACTGGGTATATATAGTGATAGTCCCATTTTTGTTTAGATCGGCCAAAACTCCATATTGTTGTTGTTGGGGTCTTTCCAGGAGACATGTTATGTGGTACTATAATTGAGGCATTAAAATTGCACTGCATGGCTGTGTTGATGGCCTCTTTCCAGATGACAGTGTTTTATAAACACCATAATGGCATTTTTCAAGATAAGTGTTACATTAGCATGTGCTTGTCGATGACAACTTATTATAAACATCAGAAAGAGACAGTCATAAGTATTTGGTCATGTTATAAGAAGAAGGAAAATGGAACATCTTGTAACCACTGGAAAGATCTGGGGAAAGAAAGACAGAGGAAGACAGCATGAGAAGATTCTTTACAGCCTTTTATCATTGCATGGAGGGATGTCAACACACGAACTGATACATACAGTTGTAGAGAGGCATGATCGCCCGGTCTGCTAGACATTTAATGATGGAATATTTACACCATATTGGCACCTTTCCATCTGTTCAGACGACAGTGTTATATTGTGCTATAGGTTAGGTATGGCTATCACAGTTTATTGTCATGCGTAGTGTAACTAGCAAGATCTACTCACATTAAAAAAAATTCCGCCACAATCAACAGGATTTCATTACTATGCCCCAACTAGATGCCTCTTGTGAGTCATTCACAATGGAAAAGGTGAAATCAACAATTAAAAATCTGACAAACAACAGCTGTTGGAGAAATGCCCAGGGCAGCAGATGAGAATACCTTGCAGCGTTTGCCACAGCTAATTGACGACATCTGGCAAAATTAATCCCCGCCACAACAGTGGAAATATGGCATAATTTTCAAGCGTCCTAAAAAAAAGGGTGATTTGTCTTGATTTTAATAATTGGCGTGGTATAACCCTGCTGTCAGTGCCAGGAAAACTTGTTTGTAGCATGTTACTTGAGAGATTGAAAAAAAGTCTATAGATGAAAGACTAAGAGGAGAACAAGCAGGCTTTAAACCAAAACGGTCACACGTAGACCATATCTTCACCCTCAGAGTAATCGTTGAAGAATTCTTAAAATTTCAATCAAAATTAATCATCTAATTGTCGATTTTGAAAAAGCCGTCGACAGTGTCCAATGTCCTACACGCTGGAAACTACTTAAAATCTATGGTTTCCCTACCAAATTCACTAACGTCATAAAATTCTTCTACAGTGAAACAAGCTTTTTTTTTTCTTTTTTTTTTCGGGAGCTTGAGAGCCTTAATGAGCTATGCCAGCGGGAACGTATGTTCCTGGTAGGGTCACCCAAGCCGGGCAGGTCATTGGTGAGGGGCCAGACTAAAGATGGCCTCCCGGTCCTCCAGGCTCGGGGGTTGGGCGCAGTGTTGACAGCTCTGCCCTGTAAAAAAATCTACAACGTTACTGAAACTTCAAGAGGAAATAAGTGCTCTAAACGCCCGGTGGTCTTGGGACAGAGTCCCTCTGCCAGCATGAACAACATGGGTGAAAGCCGAAAGGAAGCCCATGATGGGAAAAGTCTGCTGGATGTCAAAACCAAATTAAGAATTGGCTTCTAGAATGTAAGAACCATGTTTGAAACGGCCAAAACCGCCCACGTAATTAAAGGAATGCAGAACTATAAACTGCATATTCTTGGAATTAGTGAAAGCAGGTGGACAGGGTTTGGACAATCCACAACAGGTACAGGAGAAACCATAATATACTCTGGAAGAGATGATAACCTACATTCTGCAGGCGTGGCACTTATTTTAAAGAAAGGTATACACAAACATCTCATCGAGTGGCATCCAATCAATGAAAGAATAATGACAGCACGATTCAATGGCAAACATGCCAAACTTACAGTCATCCAATGCTACGCACCGACTAATGAAGATGAAGAAACATTCTATAGGAGACTGCAAGAGGTAGTAGATAAAGTACCAGCCCATGATATTCTATGCATTATGGGAGATCTCAATGCAAAAGTTGGTAACAACAACTTGAATAGAGAACTATCAATGGGAAATCAAGGATGTGGTACAATTAATGACAACGGGGAAAGATTGAGCGACTTCTGCACGGCGAATAGACTTGTTATAGGAGGAACACTATTTCCTCACAAGAACATACACAAGCTTACATGGATATCCCCAAACAGAAGAGATGTAAACCAGATCGACCATTTCATGGTAAACAGAAAATGGCGTGGGTCCCTACTCGATGTGCGTGTCAAAAGGGGAGCAGATGTGGGAAGCGACCATCACCTTGTAGTCGCTCTACTACGACTTAAACTCAAAAAAGTTTACACGCAAGTTAAGACACAGACAGCACGTTACAATGTTAACCTTTTAAGAGAAAAATACATTGCCACTAAATTTATAGTTGAACTCAAGAATAGATTTCAAACCCTATCAAGTGACCCAGAAACTCCAACTACAATCAGCATTCAAGACAGATGGAACCAGATCAAAGAAACATACAAATCAACTAGCAATAAAATATTAGGAACCAGGAAACAACACCACAAAGAATGGATAAGTAGTCAAACCATGGACTATATTGCCAAGCGAAAAAGAATAAAGAGCCTCATAAATCACACTAAATCAGAACGTCAGAAAGACAAACTAATGTTAGAATATAGCGAACTAAATAAAATGACCAAGAAAAGTGCCAGAGCTGACAAGAGAAGATTTATGGAAAATCTTGCACAAACAGCAGAAAATGCTGCTAAAGCACATGATCTACAAACCCTACACAAAATTACCCAGCAAATTTGCGGAAACAGAAACAACTATCACAGCATACCCATCAGAGATAACCAAGGCAGACTGCTCACCACAGAACAAAAACAAGACATGCAGTGGACTAAACACTTCTCCGACCTCTTAAACAGACCTGATCCTGAAAATACCCCAGAAATTCAACCAGCCTCTCAGGACATTGACATTATTACTGAACCAACAAGCAAACAAGAAATCCTTAAAGCTATCCACACTTTAAAGTACAACAAAGCACCAGGCAAAGGCGAATTGTCAGCAGAACTTCTCAAAGTAGATCCCAAAACAACTGCTAGCATTCTAGAAACATTGTTCAAGGATATTTGAGAAAAAGAAGTATTGCCTGATGACTGGACTGAAGGAACAATAGTCAAAGTCCCCCAAAAAGGAGACTTAACAGACTGCAATAATCGGAGGGGAATTACTCTACTCTCAGTACCAAGCAAAATATTTTGTAAAATCATCATAATGCGGCTTGAAAAAAAGAGTAGATAAATGCCTACGAGTGGAACAAGCAGGATTCAGAAAGGGCAGAGGAACAACTGAGCACATCTTCGCCATACGGAACATTTTAGAACCATGCAACGAACGGCAGAGAAGTATATATATTAATTTTGTGGGCTTTGAGAAAGCTTTTGACAGCGTCCATAGAGACGGTCTGTGGAAAATTTTACGTCATTATGGAATTCCAGAAAAAATAGTCAACATAATTGCTCTCTTCTATAAAGACTTTTCCTGCAGTATAAAAAATTATAATACATCTTTCCCAGAAAAGACGGGTGTAGGACAGGGATATGTTATGTCATCTCTCCTCTTCAACCTTGTGATTGATTGGATACTAAAGAACACGGTAGACAGGACATTAGGAGGCATACGATGGACTCCATTCACCATGCTTGAGGACCTTGATTTTGCAGATGATATAGCACTCCTATCACATAAACATGGACGTATACAAGAGAAAAGTAACAGACTAAACTGCACAGCAGAAATGGTGGGACTGAGAATAAATACAAAGAAAACTAAGATCATGACAAACAGTCCAAACCAACAACTAGTGACCATAAGTTAACAATCACTTGAAAATGTAGAACATTTCACGTATCTTGGCAGTGTGGTGTCCCTACTGGGAAGGACAGAGGAAGACATACAGTCACGTCTGAACAAAGCTAGAGCTGCTTTTGGAAGGATGAGGCAAATCTGGAAATCCAACAATTACTGCAGAGGAACGAAACTCCGAGTCTACAAGAGCATCATTTTGCCAGTTCTTCTCTATGGAGCGGAATGCTGGAGAATGACCAAAAAGGATGCACACAAGCTGTCCACCTTCCACCACACATGTCTACGTAGAATTATCAAAATTTTCTGGCCAGATACAATCTCAAACACTAAACTACTTCAAACCACAAACCAGGAAACTTTAGACAGTATGATTACCAAGAGAAGATGGAAATGGCTTGGCCACGTTATGAGAATGACTTCTGATATACCTGCCAAAACAGCTCTCACATGGACACCAGAGGGAAAGAGAAAACAGGGGCGTCCAAAAACAACATGGAGACGAACGATGGAAAGTGACCTGAGTGCGGCATCTTTGACGTGGAAAACTGCATTGAAGATTGCACAGAACAGGAAAGCATGGAAAGTCCTCTCTGAAGCCTCATGTGCCACCAGGCATAACGAGAACTGATGATGATGATGAAACAAGCTGCAGTGTAAGAACAGAATCCAGCAATCCTGACTGGTTTCCAGTGGAAACAGGAGTGAAACAAGGCTGTGTCTCATCACCGATGCTCTTTGGAGTAGCAATTGACTGGGTCACGCGCAAATGCACAAACACAAATATGGGTATCAAATGGGTTGACAAAATTCTAGAAGACCTTGACTTTGCTGACCACATAGTTCTTTTGAGTTCCCGGCTCAGTGTGATTATGACCCTACTCAACTCTGACTGTTCAGGGAGCACTTTGACCCACTCCTCTTCTCGCCTAATGTTCTCAGGGATACAAACTTGTATGATTGTGTATTCTGCCTTAGCTACTCATCACTCCTTTTCCTTATCAGCCGCTGACCCTTAACTGCACCTAGAGCTTCGTGCAAAGGGTGGTATGTATCTGCAGCTACCCTGAGAAATGACTTCGCCTGCAGCACCTTGTGCCTACCAGCAACAGTCGGCAAACCAAGGATGTATCGCATACACACCACTGGGGTGTCTTTAGTGCAACCCATAATGACCCGCATAGCTGCTTTCTGTATGCGGTCCAGTTTGTCCATCTGACTCTTTGAGACGGTAAGCAGTCCCAGGCCATAATCAACCACTGACCGGACCCGGTGCTGATATAGTGTGAAAAGCATTCTCTGCTCTATGTCAATTGCAGCCATAGTCTTATGTGCACTAAGTCGCTTTTGGCATCTTGTCACAACACTCTCCACGTGGTTCTTAAAGGACAGGCTCCTGTCGAATGTAATTCCCAGATACTTCAGTTTGCTCTCTCTGTTGACGTTTCTACCATCTATCGTAAGACTTAGGACATTAGTTTTAACGATTCTGTTGTCTTTGTCTACTGTCGCTTGTAGCTCCCGGGCTGTTTGTTCCCTCTCTTCCCACTGCCGATGTGCAAGTATATCATCCGCAAAAGTCAGTATCCTTCCAACTCTGGTTCTTCTAGGCTTGCATATCTTGCTCGTAAACACGCTAAAGAGCACAGGCGAGATGGCGAATCCATGTGGCAGTCCTGGGGCCAAACTGCATGGTCCTGAGGTCCATGAGCCCAGTCGGAGAACAACCCGACCTATTACAAGACAGCTGCAACCCAATTCACCAACCATGGACTGACCTCCTTTTCCGCCAGTGCAGTCATCAAGATGTCGTATCTTACGTCGTCTGAAGTCAAACGAGGTCGACACCGTTACCTCAAACACTAATACGACACAACCAAGGCCAAAATTACCGAAACCCTATGTAGGAGAAGTACTTTACAACAAGGATAAGAGGAAATCACCAAATAATACCAGACCTCACCAGTATTGCCATCAGTACCTGCCCAAGTCAATCAACCGCCGGTCCTTTTTAGGATAGGCAATTTACTTTCCCCGGAAACAACAAACAGACAAGGAATACCACAATAAATCGATTCAACACCCAATCATCTGGAGCGCAGCACAGGGCCAGCCAAATTACAAAAGCAACAGCAAGAGCGGAAACCACAACAAATAGAAAGCGACAAATATTGAACACAATCCAAAACCAAATGAGATCGAGACCAGAAAACGTCACCACAAATATAGCTGAAAGGAAAGTGAGCAGAAATGTGAGCGGACCTAGCTGAAAGTGGTCAACGAAAGAGAATTTGAACTTACGTCGTCTGGAAAGACGGAAAGATACCACCCAACCAAACATCAAGACAAGTGGCTACGAAGGTCAGATCTGTGGGGCATTGGTTGTTAGAAGACTGACTCCATTGCAGTCAAGGGCATTCAATAAGAATAAGGCACCGGAAGGAAATGAGGAAAGCAACATTCTGATTTACTCTTAGTACTCGTTTCAATGTCGCGCAACAGATTAAATTCGTTGTTATTACTTAATTTCGAAAGAAAGAAAAAAACCTACTATCGGTAAAGTTAATCCTTCTCAATACTTCAAAAATTATTCCTTGTTTTTCAATATATTAAATCATTTCCATACTTTCAAATCTCTCTCTCTCTCTCTCTCTCTCTCTCTCTCTCTCTCTCTCTCTCTCTCTCTCTCTCTCTACAGGAGGGGGGGGGGGGGATTCTACGAGCAGGAATTACTCACAATATGTATTCTTGGATAAGATACCTCCTGTACCAACGACAGGCCAAACAAAGTTAAAATAAGGAACCAATCAGACTCACAAAAACCAAGAAATTAAAAAAAAAAAGCGCCAAGCTTTTCTTGATTTTAATGGATCTCAAAGCGTGAGCTGGGTGCCCCGGGTATCTGGTATTTACGTACACCGGAGCCTAGCTGCCAACCCAAAACTGACACGGCCGGATCACACTCTAACAAATGACGATTAGATCACTTTGAGGCTCCACACAACATTTCACACACATATCCACGACATGACTAACCCGTTCTTATTGCAGAAAGACAACTATAAGACCATTATAATCACACGCGAAATATTTTCACATTTCGGAACGATTCAAAATCAAAAACTGTTTTCAGTACTTTTTGGCAAAATAAAATATTTAAAATTGTAAATGGTGGTCCAAAGGACGTTATGTAAAAAAGCTCGCTCTTCTACGAAATACGCCTGGCCAAATCAGAGAGAGACAAAACCAAGAGGCAACACCAAGTAAGAAGAGGAAAGACATGCACAATTAACAACAGGGTAGAGGACGAGCGGTCTGAATCGGAAGGACGCATCAAGCCCAGTGTCGTGGAGTGAACAGCCAACCCTACACAGTGGACTGTTCGTGACGCTGACTTCCCTAAGCGGGCACGTCACATTTCAAACTTAAACCCGTCCGGGGGAGGGGGGGGGGTGGGGTGGGTATATAGTCTCTATATTGATATATACCTCTATCTGGTGAAAAACACTTCTGGGCCCTCTTGTTGTTTTGAGAAGTCTACATTTTCAAACTTGCAACTGTGGGATGAAGATTTCTTGTGTATAATTCAGAAATTCCTGTAAGCCTTTTTACTCCTTGGGCACGAATACATGGACTTCTTTCCTAGAGACGCCAAGTTTAGTCTGAGCGGAGATTCTTTTGCCAAACTTCTGAGGTGTCAAAGACTTTGTAATTCACTCCACAACTTTGACGCTTTCAAAGTACCAGTTAATCCTTGAAGGATTCCTAAGCTCGGGATGAAATCTCCTTAGAAGTCAGGCAGACGAATCACAGTCCAACCAGCAATCACCAACCCATAACCAGCAATCACCATCCCATTCCTATCACAAATCCTACCCAAAACCCTACCTATTGTTGGCAGAACATCAACATGTCAGGAGTTTGTGTGTGAGTTCCAGTAGCTGAGTGACAGTCTTGCAGGCCACCTGTGTCATCAACCCAAGGAATCCTTCTTCAAGAGCTTGTGTGTGAGTTCCAGTGGCTGAGTGTCAGTATTGCAGGCTACCTGTGTCGTCAATCCAAGGAAGTCTTCTTCAGGAGCTTTGTTGGGCTCCAGTGAAGTTCCTTTGTCCTCACAAGAGATACGATCAGTGGGTGCCAGATCAACCAGAGAGAAAAGCAATCTATAGAGTCAGCCAGTTCAAGTCACCATGGACTGAGAGGAACAGAGACCTACCAGTTTGGTTAAGTACATCTCGGATGACCTACATGC